CTGTGGGCATTATTATCATTGGTCTTAGAGGCGTTACTATCATTAGTCTTGGGGGCGTTACTATTGTTGGTCTTGGGGGTGGTGCTATCGTTAGTGCTCATTTTCAAACCTAAATACAAGAAAAATCATAGTAAAAATTCGGGTTCATAGTTTCCGTTAAATGAAATAGCAAATTACTTAAAAAAAAAAAATACGGGCAAGTGAACCAAGTAAAAATATATATGAGCAAAAAATAATGTTATTGCTAACTTATCTTAAGGTTATTTTTATACTTCACATTCGTTAGATCTGCCAAAAGGAAAATTACAAACTTAGTAATTACAAAGCAACCCCGTTTCGGTTATATGATCAAATACTGAATCTATTTTGTTGTTTTTTTTTAGTAAAATTAAAACCCCTTTAGAATCAACGATTGGTACTACGAAGACACATTCCCCTTATAACTTTTTTAAGTCCCCGGGATCATATATAAGGTAAGAAAGGTTCTAGCTGTTCATATCGATATTGGCGCTATTTATTAACAGGATCATCCCATATGTATGTAACACAGATCATGTGGGGTAAAATTTTTAATGGATACCTGAGGTAGTTTATATTTAGCCCATCCACCATTTCAGACCTTTATGCACGAAATTAGGTTTCCTTTTTTGGTCTGTATTACGATACTTCACGTTACTATAAAGGACGCGAGTTTGTAAAATTTAGAGACTTGTTTGTCAAAAAATAACATATTCAATAGTTCATTCATGATGACAGATAGTTTCAAAAAAGAAACCTCATCTATCGGTTCTTCATCTGGGAACGCACCGAAAATTTCAAAATTTGCGTTAATGTACTATGACAAAATACCCCCGTGGTCAGCGGGCGTTCCTTTTGTTATTCTTAATGATTATAGCAGACATAAACCTGCATTATCAAAGGATCAAAAGACGAACAGAAAATTAGATGAGCAATCAAATATGTCAATGAATTTTATAGAGGATCATAATCAGGAAGAGTCTAGCAATCAGCCTGTGAAAAGAGAACATGAAGAATTATCCAGCTTGATATATACCAATGATCAGTATGAACCTATGTTATCACCTGATACTTCAGTACCAGTAAGAGATGACCATAATTTGTGTGGGCGATTGTATAAGAAAAAAAGAGAACACAAAGAATTAACCAACCTGATACATACCAATGATCAGTATGAACCTATGTTATTATCTGATACTTCGGTACCAGTAAGGGATGACCATAGTTGGTGTGGGCGATTGTATAAGAAAATTATCTCTGCAGAAAACGATTATAGCGAGAAATTTATTGGTGAGATAACTCTTAATATGATGATTTTATTTAAAAAGGACCCACAATTCCTGTAAGTGTCATTTATCAAACCTGTTAAAATATTTTTTCCATTTAACACGTTAATGTAAATTTTATTTTAAAATTTTTGTCTAGCCAAGAAATACGACAAACGGATAAACTCGTGATTGAACATGTTCAATTACTGAAACTACTTGTTAAAGTAATCGAGAATGATGCGGAAGATTATGGAAAAGATTTAGGCAGTCCATTTTACGCTATCTACTTGGTATCAGGATATGATGGAAAAATATCTGATCTTCTTCGCTTTGAAGCAAAAGAGCTTAAAAAGAAAGATGAGGTAATATATTAATCTTATATCAAGATTTTTGATTCCATGCAATGTAATGTTATATTCCTAAATAAATTAAGTATTAAATGTAGATGGCGGTAATTTCGTTAAATTCATGGGTTTTATTTTTGATACCTCCTTATTCTTCTTTGTGTACCCAACTTCGAATTAAGCGTCCTACAGAACCTTTTATCATGTTACGCTATAAAAAAGACAAATTTCCTATGAATTATTTAATGCAATGGTCTTCTGAAACTTTGTCAGACCTAGAAGAATCAAAGTTTATTTTGGTTGAAAAAAATCAAGATGACCAAATATTCGATTTTATGACATTTATCGGTGCAAGGGAAACGACAATTCTTGACCCGCATACTGATTGTATACTGGTAATTACTCATTTGTTTTAACATATTACTCGCTGATCGTTGTAAGATAATTTTAATTTTAATTCTTATAGATTTATCAAAGAAGTTTCAGAAGGCACCCTTCTCCTGAACTTAATTATATGGATTTGAGGTATCGGCGGGGGGTTAAGTTCTATCTAATTGAAGAACCTGGATTAACTCCAAGTGAAATTTTAGTTTCAGGTATATTTACTTATTTTTTATAAGTTTATGTTTTACTGCGAAATATTAAATATTACAATTTGATTATAGGTGGTATTATTGTAATAACAGAAAGAGCTCTTTTGAGATATGAACAGATTTTAGGAAACATGCAACGATTTCTCGACCACGTATATATATATATTTTCAATTTGATTATATTACAATGTGTTTATTAAGTTCCTAATATATATGTGTGTATATATTTTTGATAATAATTATTAGAATCCAGAATGGGAGCTAAAAATTCATACGTTAATTCTTGAAAAGCTGCAAGAGAAATATTTGAGTCAATATAATGCACATTATTATACGTTAGTATGTTTTATTATTTGTGTTTTTCTGACACTTTAGTTAAAGTTCATACTTATGTATTAAAATAGGCTTATGAGACTATGTGATGAAATGTCTTTTTTAATCAATGAATGTGATTCAATTAAATATCTATTACCGGATGAAATTGAGGTAATGTGTATGTGTATGAATACTGCCAATTGAAGGCCTGTAAGTACTTACAGGCTTAAATTTACATCGTACTGGACCTAGCCTCTAAACATTTGATATTACGTAATTTAATCATTGTACGATCGGTATTAACAAATACTATCGAAATGACCAGAACACCGTACTTTAATTACGTAATATCACAATTATCCTGAGTTTTAAGTCCGGTACATGAAAACATAAATTCTACAAGTTTTCATTAGTAATGCATATATGCCGTCCCTGAACTGCAACTTCTAGAGCCTGAAGTTGCAACTCCAGGCGGGTGCCACGACATATATATGCATTTGCGATAATCATGCTTAAAGTATTTTTTTTATATTATAGGAGACTGTTGATATGAATGAATACTGTTATTCTTCAATGAACATTTTATTTAATAAGTATTACAATAGTAATAGATATTTTATTATTATTGATGATCAAAAGTATTCATTGGGAACAACCATATATGGGGTAAGTTATTATTAATATTGTATTATTTTTACTGTTAAATTTATAATCCATTTGGCTTATAATAATAGGTTGATATAATGACTCTGGATGAATTTGAACAAAAAATTTTTCACATATGTAATTAATCGAGGTACCAGGTTATTTAATATTTTGCATATATTATATTAATAAACAATTTAAAGTAATGTAAATATTTTGTAAAAATTCTAACTTATATATTTTGTATTTTATATAAAGCAATATTGATAGAATTTTGATATATTACAAGCTTCTGGAGGTATGCTATTCTGCTTTATTATGTTCGATACGTAGATTAATTTACCACCTACTAAAATAATATTCATTTTTATATAATTACTAATTATTATACTGTATTTATATATTAAAAAAGTATTATTTTTGAGGTGATGTTAAAATGGTATATTGTAATTATTAATATATACTTTATATAAATAAAATTCGAATCTAGACCAGATAACAATATATATATATATTAAAATAATATATATATATATTTTATATATTATTTTTTAAAAAAATTTATAAAATAATATTTGTAAATATAATAGTTAGTTAAATTTTGAAATTTAATTTGTAGATAAAATTGAGTAATTATATATTATTTTTACAAAATTTAAGTTTTTTTAAACGTTAAACAAAATATTTGTTAAATTTGATAAACCTTTTTTGCAAATTTAAAAACTTATTAAATTTAATTAAATAGATGGGATCTTTGCTAGGATTTTTTTTTTCTAAAAATAGATTTATTATGTTTTTCTTAATAAAATCTTGTGTAACAATGGCTCGTAGGGTCATTTTTCTAGCAAAGATCCCAGATTTTAATTTATAGTATTATGGCACTGTAGTGTTAGAATATTTTAATCAATTAAAATTTAAAGTTAAATATAATATCAGATTAGCTTTGTATAATAAAAATAAAAAATATTTTAAAAAATTAATTATATCTTTAAAAATATATATATATTTTTTAAATTTTAACAAAAAAAATTTTTGTAAATTTTATTATAAAAATGGTTTAATCTTAATTTTTTATTTTTATTTTTATATTAATACAGTTTAGAAATATATCAAATTTGAAAAACAAATTCTAGAAAGATTTACAAACAAGTTTGTATATTTGATTAGTTATTATATTTATCTACATGAGTACTGTTACTTATAAATTAAATAAGTTAACTCATCTTAATTTTGTATATAAATTTATATAAAAGGTTTATATAATTTAGTATATTTGTACTTATAAGATCTAGTATAATGTAAAATCAAACTAATAAATTAATTCATTAATTTAGAGTTAAGATAAGGGTTAGGTTAGAGTTAGGATAAAGTGCTTTAAAAAGATAGATTCATTTCAAGAATTTTGCAAAGAATTTTTTTGTTAGAATACAAAAGATAGTTTCATAAACAAAGTTTTAAGTTACAAGTAATTTTTTAAAAAATTGCTATTTTTTTGATTTCATATTATACCTAATTTTATAATCTGATTGGTTAATTAAATAGATGCATTATAGCACAGGTGTGCTAAATTATAATAGATCCTTATTATTTTCCTAATATCAATTTCTCCAACAATTACTTCTCTGACAAATCCTTTTTCCAACATAATTATTTCTCTGACAATTATTTCTCTAACAATTATTTTCTTTACAAATTATTTCTCTGACATAACCATTTTCTCAACAAATCATTTCTTCAACACAATTAATTCTCTGACACAATCAATTCTTCAATATAATTATTTTCCCAAGAAAATGATATTTTGAAGAAATAATTATGTTAAAGAAATGATTATATCAGAGAATTGATTATGTTGAAGAAATGATTTGTCAGAAAAATAATTGTAACAGAGAAAGAATTTGTTAAAGAAATGATTATATCAGAGAAGTGATTGTCAGAGAAATAGATGTCAAGAAAATAATCATATTGGAAAAAAGATTCATTGTGAAAGTAATTGTTAAAAAAATAATAGAATCCTAATTATAATAGTCTATATAAAAAAATCACTTAATTGGTAATTTGCAAGTCAACTAAAGAGTAATTATAGTAAAACATGATATGGATTATTTATAAAAATTAAAGTTTTGCAAATATAGTATATACATATCTAAACTTTTTTTATACTAAGTTAACTACTCTTCTAATTTAAAAGACTTTTGTAAAGCTTGTTAAGACATATCTAATAGTGGTTAAATTATCTAAATTGGCCTGATAGGTACCAAAATATTTTTAAAAAACTTTTTTTAACTATGTAATTTTTTTGTAAACAATAGTATTGTTTTAAAGAAATTTACATAGTTAAAGAAAGTTTTTTAAAGATATCTTAGTATTCACCAGGCCAATTTAGATAATTTAACTACTATTAGATATGTTTTAACAAGCTCTACAAATTTTTTTTAAATTAAAAGAGTAGTTAACTTAGTATTAAAAAAAGTTTTAGATGTGTATACACTATATTTACAAAACCTAATTTTTATAAATAATCTGTATCATATTTTGCTATAATCACTTTTTGGTTAACTTGTAAATTACTAATAAATTTAATTTTTGTAGAAATATATATATAAATTTCTCTTTAAATTTTAAATATATATTCTTTAGTATTTAATAATCTTTAGTTTAAAAGCCAAAGTTTTTAATCTCTAGTAGTTTGAAGTTAATTTTTTATTAAACAATTTTTTCTATATTTTTTAAGTCTAATAACTAACATACCCTATACAAATAATATAATTAATTAAAATAATTTTTTAAAATTAAAGAAAATTTTACTAAGATTTTTCTAGTTTTAAAAAAAGTTATAGAAAAGGGTTTTCTAATTCTAATAGTAGTTAAATTATTAAAATTGGTCTAATAATTTTAAAATACTTAAAATTAAAGAAAATATAAAGACTTATAAATTTATTATTATATAAAGTATTATATTTTATATAAGAATAAATTTGAAGGATGTGAAGACTTAGTAAAATAGTAAAGTTGTCATATTTTTAAATAGCATGTCTAAAGTTCAAATCTCATAAACAACATTTTTAAAAAATAGCTCTGTAATATAGTTACAGCTATTTAATAATCAGTAAAATCTAAAAATTTGTAATCTTCGTTACATCATCTAGAATAAAAGCTTTAATACAATAAATCTAAAATACTGGAATAACTAAAAACCTGTTTGGCAAGTTCTAAGTTAGAAAATAATACAATCTTTAATAGTACTACAGGAGGACCAAATTTGAAACTAAAAACTGAAATTGAAAAACCAAGTAACCAGATCTTTAAGTAAAGAAACATATTAGTTAAACCACTAGATTACCAAAAGATATGTGTTCTGGAAGTATATATTAAGAGAAGGAAGACCATATCTCTTAAATTGTAATACAGGCAAATTTGTCTGCATTTTTATTAAAAATTTTAATTTTTTTAATAAAATCTTAAATATTAATTTTAGTTATATTTTTTAAATAAAATATATATTTAAATTTAGATTTGTTTTATTAACTTTATTAAGAAAATTTTTTAAAATTATTAAAAAACTTTAGTATAATAAAAGTTTAAAGTTTTTGTATTAAACTTTTAACTATATAATTTTTTTTTTTAGATTTTTTTAAATTTTATATATTTTTTGTTTATAAAATTTTTTTTTCAGTATTAAGATGATCTATTTGGTCATAAAAACTCTTTATTAGTAATCATTTATTATTACAGTTATAATGAAAATACAACTAGCCACATGTATACCTTTTGAGTGCCTATTTAAGTAGTCCGCTTACAGGTTTTATACTAGATGCTGTACTTGTAACTTAACTAGAGGATTATCTATTTAAACTTTCTAATTCTAACCATTTTTAGTATATTATACTAACCCAAAAACTATCATCTGGCCTGTTCCACTAGATTGTATACTCTGCTTTAAAACTTCTATAACTTATTCTAGATTTACACTGACTAATTACTGGCTTGTATTCTTCTATTAAGCAAATATATAGCTATTCTTGATATAAACCTACTAGAGCCTTCTATATCTCATATCAAGCTAATCTAGTTATTGTAATTGCTAAGACTCTTACTTGCAATTTGGGATAATCCAATTAAACTACTATGCTCTTGTAAGGTTCATTCCAACCCCAGTACTTACATTTAGGTCTTTCTTTTTTCATTATTATCTTATTAGTTCTTTTCTTACTTCCAATCTGTAACCCAGAAAATTCAACCCTAGCTAGGCTCTAAGTGCCTTATGCCCACTCTTTTTGATATATAATTTTATAGCACATGTTTTTTTTCTTTAATTAGGTCTAGCTAGTCTCTAGGAATTACCTAGCCCTTGTCGTTAGGTAGAATCTAACTCTCAAATCCTAGTCATAGTAAATAGTTATTCTAGTTTTTTATGCTAGCTAACTAGGTTTGTGTACTAGCCTTTTCTCTAATAGATGGTTAGATTAATAAATCTTCTTTTTTAAGGATTTTGTTGTTGTTCAGTTCTCCAATCTCAGCTATCACTTCTAAATTTAGTTTTCCTGTAGCACCATCAAAGGTATCTACTGCCTTTTTATTTGGGTTTTTCCAAATGGATTTTGATTATCCCAGTTTCTTGGCATTTTTTTTTTTTTTTTTTTTTTGTAAAAGAGGTCATTTCCTCATTCCTTTATTTTATGTTAATATATAATTTACAATT